TGGGGTGTAGAACCTTTCAGCCACTTCTACTATCTCTTCACTTATAGTGCTACCAATTTCGATAGACATTTCTGACTCAGGAGACAATGGTCGGCCCCAGTCAGCTGGAGGATTATAGAAATCATACACAGTACCAAACGTGACTTCTTCCTCTTCCATTGATCGACCATTTACTACAGCTGTTGCTTCCTTAGTAGATTGTGGGATGTCTCTTGAAAACTCTTGAAAACAAATTCCTGTTTTTGATGCATAAGATTGGCCCATAATTGTGCTTTGTTTGGAATTAAATCCCATACACTCCATGTTGTCCTGATGGGCAGTTTCTTTATCTTCAGCACTGGAGAAAGTATCAACCATAGATGTGGGAGACAAATTTTCCCTTTTGAGATTTTCATTCAGTGGCATACCTCCCAAACTGGTCACACCTTCCAAACTGGCCACAACCACATAAGGTTTTGTAGGCGATGAAACTGCAGCACAAACCTCTTTAATGTTTGTGTGTAATTCCTCACCCATAACAACCACTGCCTCAGTAACATCAACATGAGATTCAGACAGACTGAGAAACACACCACTATCCAATGAGGGTTCAGAAATGGGTACGGCTTGGCATTCTAACTCTTTGGGTTCTTGAAGATTGCCTTTTACATTTATTTCTGCCAACTGACTTTCCAATGTGGTAGGGAGGAACTTGCTTTCACCTATTGGCGCACTGTGTTTTGACGAAGCAGGAAATGATTGCCTCTCTGGTTTGATTGGTTCGATTTTTTTAGGCTTTATTGTTTCTCCAGATATTGTGGTTGTTTTCGGATAGGATATGGATCCAGATACTTTATCAGTCTGGAAAGGGATAAAACTACTAGTTCTTTCAAAATGTTGCACAACGTCTTCGCTGATTTCAGGCCCTCCCTTCTCAATTTGTTCAGTTAACACTTCAGGTTTATGTACTATGGGCCTGACTAGATCAGAAGAGTCTTGAACTTTCTCCACAAATTGTTGTGGACCATGAATGTCAACCCTTGTTGATTCTTCAGAAAATGTTTCTTCTGTAAAAGTATTAACACCTTCATCAGTCATATGTTCAGTTTGTTGGTCAGCAAATTCCAGCACCTCAGGAATAAACTCTTTTGGAAACAAAGTTTGCTTTGTAACCTCATTGGGGGATGATGGAACCATTGACCCAATATGAGAATCAGACTCAAATGTTTGTTTAATCTGTGAGACATTTATTATAGCGGAGGATGATGCTAAACCACAGCCAGACAAAATCTTTTTGGATGATTTTTGTGCTTTTGTCGTAGCTTCTTGTTTTGAGTGCTCTGTTTTTTCTTTAATTCCAAGGTCATCCGTGCAAGCAGTAGAGGCCATCTGCACAGCTGTTGTTTTTTCAAGTATACAGGTCACTTCTTTATTGTAACTCTCCTTTGAAAATTGTACAGATTCAGCTGCTTGAAAGGAAACATCAGCAACACTTGAAACTTCCCCAAGCCTATTTTTAGCAACACATTTATATACCCCTGCATCACTGTGTGCAAAATTCTTTATATAGAGCCGGTACACCTTCTCATTTATATCCATGGTGTATTTTTCTTCTTCCAAAGGGATGCAAACATCATCAAAATACCACACAATGTCTGGAGTAGGTTCTCCAGAAATTGCACATTCCAATTTTGCTGTGCCTCGCTCAGAACAAGTTATGTTCTCTAGTTCACAAACAACATTTGGAGCTTCAGCCACCACATCAAACGAGAATGTAAATTTATGTTTAATTTGGGACATGCTGTCATCTGTTGGTACATCTGAGATATTGTCAGGAGGGAAGACATCTTCACTAATACTCTCTTTCATTTCAGGAATAGGAGTAGCAGCAGTAATTCGGATTTGAACCGGTGAAGAAGACGAAGATTCATTTGAATGACGTTGCTTATGAATTACAGCCTTAGGAACTTGTAGAGTTGCCTTTCCAGTCTCTGCATAGTTCATTTGAGTACCAAGTACATTTCCCTCTAGGTTTTCAGTGATTTCATCTGCATGAATAACTTTAACTTCCTGTTTGTTCTCAAACGCTCTTAAGACTTTTTCATCTGAAATCTCAAGTGTAGCAGTGGATATTACTTTGCCATATTTATTGGCAAGACAACACTCATATACACCAATATAGTCTGTGGTTGGATAGAAGACAGTCAGCTTTGAGTAGTTTGATTTCGAAACAATGTCATAGTCTGGGTTCTGGGATAACGGTTGGCCATCTCTAAGCCAGCTGACTGTCGGAACAGGTTCACCACAAAACTGGCAACAAAACTCTGATATCTCACCAATATTCACTTTAAGCGACAACAAATCTTTTACAACAATTGGAGCTTTCCCATGTATACTCGGTTTGTCACTGATTGCTTTAGAATCTGCTTCTTGTACACTTTGCTTAACTGGCTCTTTTATCTTTGCGCTTATTTTGAGATCTGTATCTTTCTGTACACTTTCTTTTACTCCAGCCATTTTTGTGATTCCAAACTCATTCGCATTATCCTTCTGTATTATTTGATGTCTTGCTGGTTCAATATCTTCTTTCATTCTACCTTCATTCTTTACTTCCAACTGAAAGCGCTGGAGGCTAGCTTTATCATCAAGCACGGTGCATTCCTGAGATGGGGGCTTTTCCTCTGCTTCTTTTTCAGTGTTCAAAGACTGTCTGAAAGGTTTAACAGGAGCCCCATCTTTCTTGCCTTCAGCTGGCAATGTGCAAGGTTCATGACTAGGAGCGAAGTTTTGATCAGATTCTTGATTTATGGAATCTTTTGCAAGCGTAGGTGGCAATTCTGACAGAGACTGGATCGTTGAAGCAGTTTCAGATCTATACATATTTACTGTGTCATTATTAGAACTTGTGGATTTTACATCTTGATGTTCACCTGGTAAATAAGAAGTCTGGAAAGTGGCTGAAGATGCCTCTGTTGATGGATTTTTATTACTGACAGGTAGAGCCTCACTGAAAACTTCATCGGGCACAATCTCAGAATGAATGGTTTCGGTAATTTCAAAAAGTTGCTTTCCTTGATTATCCACAGACCACTCGGACTCGAGTTCCGTCACTTCCTCCTTTTGCCATTTCAAAAGACGCTGAGCCATAGCTTCTTGTTCACATAGAAAGTATTTGCTGTCTCTTTCCAGTCTAGTTTTACGACCTTCCGTTTGTTTCTCAGTGCCAGGCCACTCTGGTGTATTCTCAAGGCGTTCAAAAGGAAATCTTTCTACGGGAGTTTTAGTGGTGGTTTCTACTGTTTCCTCGTGGACAATTATTCCAGCTGCACCTTCTGTTGGACATTTTGAGTAGCTTTCTGTCCATTCTTTTTCTGGTTTGACAGTGATTTGTTGCTCCATAAAAACATCCTGTTGCCACTTCATAATTCTGTCATTAAGTGCTTCTTCCTCGGTGACAAACCGAGCACTTTCACTTTTCAATTCAGAGATGTTTTCTCTTGACAACTGAAGTTCATAATGTTCTTTCATTTTTTCCATCCTGTCTTGTCTTGATCCAGCTCTAGGTGATGCCTCAAGTGTCTTCTCAGATATTCTTGACGTTACTCTTGGGGATTTTTGCACTGGTTTTATAGATACTTCACTATCAAACCCTTCAGCATGGGTTTTCATTTGTTGGGATTTATGAGAAATAGGAATAAGATGAGGCTCAGCTTCCTTCACCAGTTCTTTCTCCAAATTATACATTTCACGTTCAGGTTCTAAGTATGGTGCATCAGCTGGCATTGGGAGATCTGTTTCAGGATGAAAAGTATCTTCTTCTGACATAATCATGCCTTGTTGCCATTTCCTGATTCTCAGAGCTAAGAGTTTCTCCTCACACTCCATGCGCTCAGCCTCAAGTTCTTTTTCATAATGAGCTCTAAGCGACTCCCCAGTGTACTCTTCTTCATATATGCCTTGCCTGTCTGTCATTTCTTGGGTTCTTAATACATCATCAGAAAAATGGTCTTTATTATTAGGCCTTATTCTTGGAGAGTCTCTTATTCTACCGTCTGCTCTGGTTTTTGCTCTTGATGAAGTCCCGGCCACTTCTGGGGCATTTGATTCTTGCAAGACTGGAAGTTCAAACTCGGTATCTTCTGGCTTCAAAGATTTGCCTTCAATATCACCTGACCTTATCATTTTTGGTGACTTATGAGGATAAACTTGATCTATTACACTTTCTTTCTGCTCCATCATTTCCTGGCGTATGTAACCTTTGTGCTCTATGTAAGGAGGCTCAACTGGCAAATGCAGGTCACTTTCTGGGTGATATAACTCGGACATCCTTTCTCCTTGTTGCCACTTAGTAATTCTTTGAGACAGAAGTTGATCCTCATGCTCTGTCTGCTCCTTGTCCATAGCCTCTTTGTATTGAGTGCTCAAAATGTCTTGTTTATCAAATGAAATTTCTTTTTCAGTCATTTCAATCGTTGATGTTCCAACTTGAGTTAAGTTTTTATTCTGAGTTGTGATGTATTTGGGTAATAATTGAGCTTGTGATGTCATATTTCCAGAGTATGAAATGTCTTCCACATTTGTAACATTCTGTTTACAAGTCTCGTGAAGATGGTCACTTGGCATTATCTTGAAATCCATATCTTCTTTAGTTTGCCGATAGCTCATATAAGTATGCTCCATATTACCCTCCTTCTCAGACTGTGGCAATAGCTCACCTTTCATCAACTGAATAGCTCTCGTTCTTGATTGTGGTTGAAAAGAATGCCTTATGCGAGTCTCTGAGGAATCCCTGCTTCTTGTTTGACACCGACTTTCTTTGGTACCATCTCCCGAATCCGAGAGCCGACTGGATGGCAGGGCTTCTTGTAAAGAGGCATGTTTACTCCTTATTCTCTCCATATATTCCGAATAAGTAGGTTCACTAATTACTGACTCACCATCCAATTCTGACGAAGACATAGTCGAAATAGAGAGTCTCTTTCTTTGCTTGACTGCCTTCTGAAGAGTTGTTAGTTTTGTTCTTACCTCATTGTGAAGGCTTTCTGTATCACTGAACCTGTCACTATACCGATCACTGCAGCGGTCACTAAATTTGTCACTGTATCTGTCGCTGAATCTGCCGCCTGTCCGCCTATCACAATAGATATCACTGAATCTATCGTTAAATCGCTCTGGTTTATCAAACATGGGTGGTGGGGATGGGGCCCGCTCGGATGCTGTTTCCAAATGTGTGTGCTCTTTAACTTCTTCTTTTTCTTTTGGCAGTGTACCAGAGCTAAAGTAGACGGTCCGGACAAGTGCATTTTTAGACCGTGACCTACCATGAGTCTTAGATGTTCTATCAAATGGAGAACCAACACACCGTAGCTCCACTCTGAACTTTCTCTCCTTCTTCTGCTCAGTAATGGCCTCCTCACCTTCATGTGTCTTTTTAGATCGCTTGCGAAATGCCACATAGTTGGCAGACTGCTCCTCCCTCAGTGACACCAAAAGTGATGCTGTGGACTCTGCAGAACCCTCTGAATTGATTGCCATTACCTTGTAACTTCCTGAGTCTTTCTCTTTAATACAATCAATAACAAAACATGTCGAGTGAATGTTAAGTTTACTTTCAGAAAAAATTCTGCGCCTTCTTTCTTTGCGAATTGGTCGATTGTTATGAAACCACAAAAGTGAGGGTGGAGGAAAAGCGACCACAATGCATTTTAATTCTACAATATCACCCTCAAGCACTGACTGAAATTTAAGTTTCTGAGTGAATGAAGGAATAATATTCTCAGCGGCCGTATTGTTAGCACTGTGAAACTCCTCAGTGTCAGACAAGGCTCCTCTCGGCTGACATGAGGGTTCAGTGCTGGGGAGCTCTGCAAATAAAGAAAAAACAGCCGTCAGCTAATCAGCGTTCTCGGGTGAATGAGAGAGAATAATTATAGGCATGCAGCAACTCCCAATGCAAAAATAAATAATGTGACTCACCATATTTGTTCGAATAAACGCAAGACTCGATTCTTTTTACTAGAAACCTGCAGGAAGTTAAGATTCTTCGTCTGTGGAAATTTCTTCAAAACAAATTATTTTAAGATAGATATAAGCATAAACCATGGAGGGCTGCTTTTTGAGAATTGCTTTCACTATAATATTCTTCACCTGACTTGCAGACAGAGGAATAAACGCCCTTTCTAATCCTTAAACTTAAGACATCAATGATGCACATAACATTACATCTTGGGTTCAGAAAGAGACCATTTTAAGCCGCAAATTATGTAAGAAGGCGTTTATTCGAACTAATATAGTTGTGTTATTTACAATGCAAACCACAGGAATCACATCCCACTATCTGCAAGCCAGGCTATGACATTTTTTTTTGCAAGAGGAACATAAAAAAACATATCTTTTAAAGAATTCTTAAATCTAGAAGCTTTAAAAGATATTTCATTTATCATTTATATTGGGGAATTAAAGGCCCTTCATGCCAAAACATATACTCTATAGGATGCAATTTGCAAGTGTCAAAAACTGCTTCAAGCACATTTGGACTACGCATAAACACGGCGTCTCATCAATACATCTCATAAGGAACTGAAAAGAAGAATGTATTGGTCAAGACATAAACAAGAACATGCCATCCAGTTTGGGGAACGACTAAAGGGACAGTTCAACATTTGCAAATCAGTAAAGCGTGCTTCTGCACACTGTTATGAAATCGTTTTATTTTGCCATTTACCATTTACAAGTACATTATCAGATTCTAACTGAGGCAAAAGAAGCCTATTAGTTAAACAGTCCCTTTCTCAGCACATTAAAAGAAAGGGGTAGGGGTGATAATCTACTGGTTTGGGCAAGAGGTCAAGAAACAAACTTGGTCTTACCTTTGACTTCTTGTTGCACCTTGGTTTCCGTCTGTTCTACGCGGATCACTGTAAACAAAAGAGAGAAAAAACAAGAAAACAATGTATTACTTTGGGGCTAAAGAAACGAGTACATTATTAAAAATAAAAGGGGAAAAGAGACTTTAAAAATGGTTAGGAATACATGGAGTGGTTATTCTTGCCATATAAATTCACAGAAAACATGCTATTTGTGGGAAACAACATTGGAAACAAAAACAGGAACATAGGAGAGTGGAGGAATCTTGTAAATAAATGTAAACCTAGTAAACACAACAACAGGTATTGTGAGGGATGCCCTGATTTTTATCATTTTAAGCAGATTTGGAAAAGTATAGTAAAGTTCGTCCTGTTTAAAGTAGCACACATGTATTGATTGCTTGTGTGATAACAGAGTACATATTCAGTATATTTTAGGTTCAGGAAATCCCTCAAATGTGGTTCTTGCTGGAAAATGCAAACAGTGATTGAGAAAAGAGTTAAAAGGTGAAGACTTGGAAGAAGTTTAGCTCAGTCACAGGTTCCAGATGTTACCTTCTTCTACTACTTGTTGCTCTTTCGTTACGGTGAGAGTGGCAGAGCAAGCAGCCTCCCCAGCGTTATTGACCGCTCTGCATGTGTAGAGGCCTGCATGCTCAGAGAAAGTGTCCACTATGATCAGAGTGGCTATATTTGTCATCTCATCATAGTGAAACACAACGTTTTTGGTGGCCTTCACTGGCTGCCTGTTGTGGAACCATGTCACCTCTGGCTTAGGCATGCCTGACACACATGCATGGAAGCGAGCCACTTCTCCATGTGGCACTGAGCAGCTTTCTACAGGCTGAAGGAAGACCGGCTTTTGGCCTAGAGAAGGTTTCTTAAGAGTTGTGAGACTGGTGGAAGCATGCCATTGGCTCTCGGTCCCTGAAAGTAAAAGGTTGACTATTTCACATGCAGTTTTGACTCTTTTTTTCATAAATTATTTAGGTGATTTGTTACATGTCCACACCTTAAAACACAAGTGTATTTGTTGGTGAAACTAACCTTCCATTGTTAATGTAGCAGAGCAGGTGACAGTTCCAGCACTGTTGGTGGCTGTGCAACGGTATGCGCCCTCATCCTCAGGGTAAACTCTGGAGATCTCCAACTGACAGCTGTCATCAAACTGGGACATCCGGAAGAACTCTGACTGCTTAATCTCCTTTTCCTTGTGGAACCAGCAGATCTTCACATCTGAAAGAAGAAATGGGATCATGGTTTGAAAACACAAGATTATTATTAATGCATTTGCAAGTGTTACTATGAAAAACTAAAACTAAAATGTAATGAGTTACAAAACTTAGTTTTGTGTCAAGAAAGTAACAGAGTAATATTACTTGGGAACACTTTTGTCATACATGTGTAAATTATTGGTTGCAAAAATACAAATGATCTAATCTAATTTAGACAATAAACATCTCACAGAAGTACATTTATAAAAATAAAAAAAATATCTATTGAACAATCAGATTGTTTAGAGATTGTTCAGAAAGAGAAACAGAGATTCCCATAATCCTAGTTTTTGGCTTGTCTAATATCTATAGAATCAAATCTTTTCACCAAAATGTGCAGTCAAATGTTATGACCTTACCATCTCCACGGACTTTGCACTGGAAGCGAGCTGGTTCACCTTCACGTGCTGAAGTATTGCTGATGGAAGATATGACCACTGGGGGCGCTACAGGAGCAGCTGAATCTGGCGACACCACCTCTGACACTAAAGAGCACAACATGATTAATGTTTGTATCCCGATTATTTATAGTTGTTGTAATTCAAAGGTCATTAAAGCCACATGACCACTTGATTTTACAGTGCAATTATTACTGATTTTTGAGGCTGGTTGGGGAAATGCAGATGTAATTTCATACAAGGCCTTAGGAGCAGTGCAATAGTAACTGCACCACATTAAGGACAATTGGGGAGATACAAAATGCCTTTTATGAGCCCATTAGGAGCAGTGCAATAAAAACGCAATTTAGGGCCATGTATGGATTGTGAAACTCTTTGCTCATGGGGATATTTACATGCACTTTTTTCTTTTGGTGAACTGTATCTACAGTGATTATTATGTACTGTATGCACATACACATACATTATGTATGTGTATGTGTTGTCTAGTAAATGTGTATGTATGTATATAAGTATGCATGTATGTTCTTTTTCTTTTCGAATTTAATCACAATACAGTACAATATTGTAGAAAGTAATTGATAAGAAGATGTGTTGTAAAATTACATTGAACTCGAAATATATAAACATTTCTACATGTATTTATGTATGTATATTTGTCTTGTACCTTTAATGGCCAAGACAAATGTCTTGATCTGGATAGAATAAAGGCTTATCTTATCTTATACATCATGTACACAGTCCATGGGGTTTGAAAAACAAGAATTGTTATTATAATATAAATAAATAAAAAAAATATTAAACATTTGAAAAAAGACCTCTATTGAATCGTAAAATGCATAACAATTATGTATTTATTACCTTCAACATTAAGTGTTGCAGTGCTGGTGGCTACTCCACAGTCATTTTTGGCTTTGCATTTATACTCGGCTGCATCCTCAGGGAAGACCTCGATCAGCAGGAGTGTGTGCTCATATCCATCATGGAGGAATTTGCATTTGAATCCAGGGGAAAGGGCCTGGGAGTTTTTATACCAGGACACCTGTGGCTGGGGCAGGCCACTCACCTCCACAGAGAAGCGAACAGGCTTACCGGCCTCTACTGACTGGGACTCCATGTGGCGCACAATCTGAGGGGGCACGGGGACTGAAGAGAGCATTCAGAAAAAGGTTAACGCCACATTGGGATATTTTGCATATTTTTTTTATTTTCTTCAAACTTACGGTTGACTCTAAGATGCATGGTGCTTCGGTTCTTGCCAGCAATAAATGTATATTCGCCAGCGTCACTGCGGTATGTCTCAGTGATAGTGAGGCGATGGACCTTCCTAATGGCCACATAGTTGAACCGCTCTTCCATGGAGAACTGGATCTCAACACCATTTTTCAACCAGCGGCCCTCAACATCTTCCTCGTTTACTTCAAACTCAAAAGTAGCTCTGTGTTTCTCCAGAACCTATAGCATGAAACAAGCCATGTAATATAAGTTCAAGAGAGATAAGCGCTCAGTCAAAAATCAATCAATCAATCAATCATTTATTGGTAAAGCACAATTTGTGTACAAGGCAAATCAAAGTGCTTCACAAGAGCAATTTAGAAGCACAGATGAAAATGCATACAAAAATGTGTTTTGTTAAGTAAAAAAAGTAAATCCTTTAATGAACAGGATTTTTTTGCCTTGATTTTTAATATTTCATTAAATATTTTGTACTTACAGTGATTTCTTTCTGTGCTGGTTCAGAAATGCGCACATCACGACCCTCTACAATGAGCTGGGCCTTTGACATACTAGATCCAGCTACAACTGAATACTCGCCAGCGTCGGACATTCGGACAGTTTGTATCATCAGGCGATGAACAAACTTCTCAGCAGTCACGATGTACCTGGAAATAATGAGAAGGTTAATTCATTTGGCGTATCTTATAATCCCAGAGAAAGCTATTTGCAAATTTTACAAAAAAAATACTGCTGTCATAGAAAAGTGGAGAAATAAAAATGTTTTAAGTACCATAATTGTTGGCAACAGTCTATTGCAATTTCTCAGATAATCATAATCGGCTAATTATTCCTCACTCAAAATATAACATCCCTTTTCATAACCCTCAAACCCAGAGTAGTTTTTCCATCATGGTACAATAATAATAGCTCACGTTAAGCTCAACAGGAGCTCAGATGTCACTGTTTTAAATCTTGTGAGAAATGTATAGCTGTAATGGTAGATGGTGCAGGGCCTCTGCAGTTAATTTTGTCCCTCACTTGATCCTTTATTGTCAAATCTCCACAAATAGTGCAGTCTCAATTAATGATATAAGAATGACAAAAGTAACTGCTTTACACCTGGTATATTCATCATTATGGTGTCATGGTGTGGATTGTATTTTTGTGCTTGGTTGTACTTCCTGTTCTGTTCCCCTCTGTCAGTTTCACCTGTGTCTCTGTGTCTGTGCTCATTTTTCCTTGTTGCTGGTCTTTGTATGTCTATGTTCCTGAGTTTTGTTTGGATTGTTGATTTGTTTTTACCCTGGACTTTTATTTTATTATCTTCATTAAATCATTATTTTTGCATTCCTGCACTTCACCTCATGACATATGGTGGTACTCAGGAGGCAAATCATCTGTTAACTTTCTGAGAACCATGATTCTAGAGTAGACTGATAGTAGTCATTAGAAGACATACAGTAGAATAAAGTATCACTATTTTTCCCCCAAACCGTCCTACATGCACGAACATAGCCCATCAAATGGAGACGAGCAGGAGTTTCTCATACTCAACAAATAAGTATTTTAATTTATTTAAATGTATGCATTCTTATACAGTAATGAGATTGGAATAATTGTAATTATACGTTTCATATTGGTGCATTGAATCAGCGATATCACAGTGCAGTGCTGTGGACTTTATACATTTTAGCACTAAACACAGGGGCTGCCTCTTCCCTCTGTGAACTCTAGTGTTCACACTTCTGTCAACAGTGAGCCGGAGTTCACTTTAAGTAGACCAAATGTGGTGATAACTGAGCACAATTTGCTTGTTTAATTTGTGAAGAAACAGCCAAACAAGTGCACACTGGTCCAAGTTACATAAGACAATTCACGTCTTTTGAAAAAAATCTTTAAAAACTTTAAGAGGTATGTTAATTGTCCAGTTTAGGAAACTCCAGTTCACTTCTGAATGTGATCACGCCCTAAAACTCTCGATACTTGGAAGTATGGCTTTTTTCTCGTCAATGCCGCAGTACATGGTATAATCCACACATATGCCAGTAAATTAGCCTAATACCACTAACAGTAATATGGAAAAATGACAGCCAGGTTTGAATGACAGGTGTGTGCAGGTGTCAGGAAATGCCACTTCTGAGGTGTTAAAAGACATTTTGCTTGGCTGCTGGCCCCTCTGTGCTCCTGCCGGCAAACAAACTGTGAGGCTGTAAGCGTACAATGGGTGAGTGATGAAAGAAGTGTGTATGTGGGCACGCACATGTGAGTATGTATGAGTGTGGACAGTGCGTGGATGGTTTGTGTGCTACTGCTCTTCTGAGCGACTGTAACCTCTCTTTTTGACAGTGTTCATCAACATTTCTGCACAAATATGAAGAAAGGCAGACTATTCCTTTCTTCTACTGCACCACAGCAAGGTGGGTTCATGATTAAATGTTTTATAACGCTAACTTCACCAATACTGCGGTCTGCTCAGGCCCTGAGACTTTTAAACATCAAGAGCTGCTTTTTAGAGCATATTTTGCCTTAGAACATAGAATAAAATTGGACATGGGACCTTCGTTACAACCAACAAATACTGTGATGATGTATTTCCCACACACGTAGAGAAACCTAGCAACCCGTGAGTTGAACCAGTGATTCTCTAGCTGTGACAGGAGACCTCCATAAAACTAACCCCAATACTACTAATCCTACTGTATACATTAATTCAAACAGGTTAAAAAAAATAAGAATTAAAAGTGATGCCTACCTCTCCTCGGAAGTGTCCAATTCTTGTCCATCTTTCATCCACATGACTTGCGTGTTGGGTTCTGAGATCTCACATTCAAAAATAGCCTTCTTTTTCTCAGTAATCTTAATGTCTTTAATTTTCTTGGTAAATTCAATGAGACGAGCTAAAAGAGTGAACAGTGTCATTTTATAGTTTATACGACCCTGGTGTTAAGATGTTAGTCTATATACAGTATTCCCATACCTTCAACAAAGAGATTGGCAGAGGAGACCGCTGATCCAGACACAAACTGGTACTCTCCTCCATCTCCAAAGTGAACATTCCGTATGGTCAGCGTGTGGGTAAGCTCCTTGGTGCGAACTTGACACCTGTCTGAGGATTTGATCTCCACGCCATTTTTCAGCCATTTGTATGTAATACCCTCGTGGTTTACCGTGACCTCAAAGGTGATTGTATCTCTTTCTTGGGCATTCAAATCTTTCAGCATAGAGGTGATCAGGACAGCTATGGAAGAAGAAAAAAGAAATATTTATATAAGGTCTTGGTATAAATAGTCCACAAGAGGGTTGAGAGCTGGCCCTTACTCCATGACAGACCAAGATAAACAGCTGCACAAAAGTGCTTACAACCAGGCTTCAGTGAGCTGGTCGGTGTGCGTATCTAATCCTCATATCAAATGTCTTTCCAGTTATAACCTGGAAAGGTTAATAGGTTGCTCTGTCTATCTTGATGTGTGGCTTTGTTTCATTAGGTGACACTAAACACTTTGTTTGGCATATATATTTTTCATCGCTGCATTTATGTATTTATCATTACGTTGCTTGAATGAATGAATGAATTATGATTGTGCTATCCAAAATTATAGGCTTGTACTAAATGATTGATAGATATTAAGAATGCAGCATCATTTAATACATGCTTTCTAGAATATCTAAAACAATAAATGTCAATAAATATATGGAAGGTTCATGGAGTAACAGTTCATAGTAATGGATCAATGAGAGATGTACATCAATTAAATACCCCTTCAAAAAACTCCAGCACACTGTTGACCTGTTTTAAGCCTTTAATGATTTGGGAGAATGTAAAACACATCCTTCAATTCATTCATTCAAAATTCCAAATGTAAAAACAACGTTGCAGCTGTATCAAAATTATAATTTTTGCCACATGCATTTTGTTTTAGTGTTAGGAGGACTACATGAACAATATTATTTTAGTTTTGCAAAAGGATTGGAATTCCAAAATTATTCTGTTACCAAGGATCAAAGGCATTCCCGTTATAGCTTTATGTTAATAATTAGTGACATTTATTGCTTCTTTTTGATAATGAATGACTTCTTACGGCTGACAGTAAGCGTGGCAGACACTTTGTCGTTTCCACAGACAAACGTGTATTCGGCAGAATCGTCCCGGCTGGTGTTCAGGATCTTCAGCTGGTGCAGTTTGCCCTGAACCACGATCCTGAACTTCTCGCTCATCTCGATCTCCACACCATTTTTCAGCCAGGTAGACGGCACATTGAAGTGGGATACCTCACACTCGAATGTGGCCGCCTTTGTCTCGGCAACCTCCACGCTCTTCAGAGGCTTGGTCACACGCAGAGCTGAATAAAAGAGTGAATGCAGCCATGAATGACAGACACTATAATATGCACAGACATAGAAAATACACAGCATGTTGTTAAAGATTTGAAGTGAGAACATTACCAGTGAAAAATGAATGTTTAATATGTACCGTCTTCATGGAACATGGCCTTAAAACAGTTATAAATTGTGTTTGCTAAAATAGAAACATATTTATAACAAGTATAATTTTCTTAGAATAAAAGTAGCAACTTATGAACATGTGTTGATAAATCTCCAATTACCATTTTGGTAACGCTTTATATTAGGCAAGGCAAGGCAAGGCAAGTTTATTTATATAGCACAATTCATACACAAGGCAATTCAAAGTGCTGAACAAAACAAGAAAGCATTAAAATCATAAATTATCACAGAACATTAAAAAGAAAGATAAAAATATAAAATCCCTCAGTTGTATGCACAGTTAAACAGAACCGTCTTTAACCTGGTTTTAAACATTGTCAGAGAGGAGGCCTGTCTCACATCTTCAGGAAGACTGTTCCAGATTTTAGCAGCATTAATCTGAAAAGCAGCCTCCCCATGTTTAGTTCTGACTCTGGGCACTAACA